CAGGTATCCCTTTGATACACTGATTTCTTCTCATTTGGATAAATACCTGGTAGTGGGATTGCTGGATTGTACGGTTAGTTCTATTTTTAGTTTTTGAGAAACCTCACGAAGGTTCTCAAAAGATATTGGCCAAATTAATTCATTGCATGAATTTAGAATTTTTGTAAGTTACTGGGCCAAGAGTAAATAGTAAAGCTTTCTACAGCTCTGGGAGATGAACTTTGCTTCTAGACCTTACCCAAGGACTTGGATGTTTTGTTTTTTGTCCCCTGTGAGATATGAACAGTGTCTCCTCCTCATCTACTTCGGGACCAGCCTCACTAATGACTGCGAAGTTCAGAGAAGGCTGCATGGAAAAGGTGGCATTGCATCTGAGCTTGTGGGTGTCGACGGAGTTATTAATATGTTGCCTCTCAGCTCAAATGTCACCCCCTCATAGAGTCCCCTCCCTGATTACACCATCTGAGTTACCATACCCTGTCATTCCTGTCCTTCTTCTCTGCCTTATTTTTCTTCGTAACAATTATCACCACCTGACTTTATTTCAATTTTTTATTATTATAAATAATGCTAAAAGTTAATCTCTAAGAGGGCAGGGATTTCATCTGTTTTGTTCATCTCTATACCCGACACCTGGAACAGCGCCCGGCACACAGTAGACACTCAGTAAATTGAACAAATGAACAAACGGGCAGATGGATGGATAACGTTTTATTTCACAGGGCATCACAGGAATCCGCTTTGCTGGAGGAGAGAAATGCTACATCAAAGCACAGGTGAAGGCTCGCGTTCCTGATGTGGGCACCGTGACCAAACAGAGCATCTCCTCTGAACTGGTGGGTACCAACGTCCTCTGGACAGCAACAGGGTGTGGCAGACATTGTTTGAAGGCACAGTCCTTTCGGCCTCTAGTTCCTGGATCGGTTCAGGACCAGAACCTAAGTTCTATTTCTTCTCTGCCAAAGGAATTTAAACTGTTTTTGTCCTGCTGGTTCCAAGGGATCATTCTTACACGATACGGTATATTTAAAGGTTTTGGGAAGCCATATTTTAAAGTGCATAAAAGGCTTGGTATTCACATGGCCCTTCTTTGCCTGATGTTAGGAAACTATCTGATCAGTGGTTAAGACTTCACAATAAAGACAAAGAACTCTGCAAGATAGAATCTTCATTAAAGGATCCTCAGGAGGCCAGACACGGTGGCTCACACCTGTAATCCTAGGACTTTGAGAGGCTGAGGTGGGAGGATCGCTTGAGGCCAGGAGTTTGAGACCATTCTAGGCAACATAGCAAGACCCCGTCTCTACAAAAAAAAATGGAAAAATTAGCCCAGTGTGGTGGCTCACATCTGTAGTTCTAGCTATTTGGGAGGCTGAGGCAGAAGGATCGCTAGAGCCCAAGATTTCAAGGCTGCAGTGAACTATGATGATGCCTCTTCGCTCTAGCCCAAGCAACAGAGTGAGACCCTATCCCTACCTCTTAAAAAAATTTTTTTAAATGAAGGGGCCTCAGGAACCTTCTCGCCTCAGCCCCACTCAATGTAGGAATTCTTTCTAAACATCCCTGACAGCTGATCACTCGGCCTCTGCCATAAAGCAGTGACAGGGGGCTCCCCACAACCAGACGCACGTGTCAGCCAGCTTTATCGGGGTGGTTCTAATTGTTCTGCCCTACCCTGAGCTGAGACGGCTCCCCCTACAATTTCTTCTCATTGGTTCAAGTTCACCCCAATGAAGCGACACAACATATATCTAATTGCTTTTCTGTGTGTCAAACCTGTGAGATTTTTAAACAGAATTGTTCCATTTATTATTAATAACTTGCCTTTGAGCTTGATTTTTTAAAATTTAAGAATTGCACACAGAGTTCTAAAGACACACTTAAGCTTACATTTTTATACTACATTAGGGCTTACAAAGTGGTCACATTCCTTATTGTCTTCCATTTGCGTTGTGGCAGGGTAGGGTGGAAAGAAAATGGATGTTAGAGTCAGAAAAACACGGATTCAAATCCCAGCTTGGACCCTTGCTAGGGATGTGGCTTCCATTCCAGGAGGCTGTTTTGTCATCTGAAACTGGGGGTGTGAATACTGTGCCCAGGGCCCTAGAATCTACCGGATGGTGACTAGATGGCTGCTCATTATTGTTAATTTTATTATGACCATCTTTGACCCTGCCAGCATCCCTGAGAGGGAGGCGAAGCACGTATCAGCTCCCTCCAGGCAAACGAGGAGAAATGTGGGTAAGCAAAGCGCCTGGAAACTGCCTGGGTGCTGGTCCCACGGGAGCAGCAGCAGGCGGTGTCTCAAACAGAGCACGACAAAAGCTGTCTGTTTTTAGAACTGGCTACCATGTCCTCTGTTTTCTACTCCCAGTTTCCCCAACATTCATCCTGTGAGATGTTTTCCAGACTCTGCTTTCTCCAGTCATCCTCTCCTGATCGTGTTCCAGTTTGTTCCTCACAAGGCGAACAGCTTGGCATCGAAGGCCGTGCTCTCAGTGTGAACTCACGAACACCAGCCCTAAAAATGGGACCCCAACCTCCTTTGTTCTGACCCTTGAACTTCTCTTGTTGCACTTAGTTTCTGTCCTGAAGACTTTAGTGAACTATAATCCTCGCCATTTTCCCCATCAATGGGCATAGAACTAGCTTTCCTGCCTTCCGCAAGGACTAACTCCCAGTCACAGCTGACCCAGATCTATATAAGTTCACAACATAGTTTGGGTTTTTTAAGGGTTTTTTTTCTGATATTTAAAAATAATACTTTGTCACTCTAGGAAATTTGGGAAATATATAGAAATATAGAGAAGAAAATTGCCTACAACTGCATAATCTACAGATAGCTAATGTTAACGTTTTGGTGGATTTTCTCCGTGTATGTGCGTGTCTGTGTGTGTGTGTGTGTGTGTGTGTGAGAGAGAGAGAGAGAGAGGTAAATTCTTTTCATAAGTGAAGTTACGCTGCATTACATGCTTATTATTATCACAACTTTAGTTCTTCTAAAATGTAGATTATAATGATATACATTATCATATTGTAATTTTAAAAGTCTTTTATTCTTGACTACTTCAGGTATCTTCAGTTTTTCACTATTTAAAATAATAATTTAAAACAACTATTTTTAAATATAAAAATAATTCACACATTGAATTATTTTTGTATGTAAATCTTTGTCCGCATCTGATTCTTAGGCCATAGAGGTGGATTGTTTGTCTTGTGTTTTAGTTGTTTATGTTGTGTATGATGGTGGACCTTCTGGTGGACAAAAACAAATTCAGACGATATATTTGTGTCAATTAGGAATGTGTTTGGCTTTCAGTAGCAGAAAACTACACTTAGAGTAACTTAGAGATTTGTTTTCCTCCACAGGAAGCAATGTGCAGGTAGGTGGCTGCAGGCATTGACTTGGTGGCCAGCAACTCTGTGATTTTTTTTCTTTTAATATTTCCTTCCAGCTCCAGTTGGGGTTGGCAATGCTCAACCTCTTCCCAACTTCCTTACTTGGCATTCAAGTAAAAAAATCAAGAAGAAAGAGGTTGAATGGTGCCAAACACCACTTCCCTTTAATCAGGAAAAGCTGAAGGCCTCCCAGCCCCCCTCGCATACTAGGCCTAGATCTCATTGGGTAGCACCGATGGCCCAGGCACCCATGGCCACTGGACAGTCTGAGAAAGCAAGTGTCTCTCCTAGGGCTGGACACATTGCTGCTTCCAATCAAAGCAAGATTGCACTGCAATATAGGGGAGGAAGAAAGGAGATTGGGTAGGCAACTGAAAGTACGTGCCCCAAGATTTATTTAACATTCTTAGCTTGGAGAATGCATCTATATTCATTATCCCAATCACCCCACTCTTCCCCCACACACTTTAGATTATGATGGGATAGATTTATGCACCACTTGTTCTCATACATTTTTCATCAGTTTTGTATAACTTTAAAAAGCTACTGTACTCAAAGAGCATTCATTTCCTGGATGGAGCCATTTAATTTAAGGTAAATAACTGGATTACCTGAGTGTTAGTTTCCTCCAATAACCTTAAGTTGTTTTAATGCAGCCGTAAGCCTGAGGGAGAAAGCATAAATGAAGTGCTGCTTTTAGCTAAAAATGAGGAGAAAACATTTTAATTTCTCCAAGCTCTTGCAAACTAATAAAACATGAAAGGAACAACCTGGCAAAATAAATTTGTCTCCTGGGTTAGCAAACCATTCTCAGCATCTCGCTGCAGAAGAAAATCCAGGGTTTAGCTTTGAAATCTCCGTGGTGTGCTTGATGCGAGGAACATCTGAAATACATGTTGCGATAGCCAGGAAGTGGAGAAATGGTTTATGTTAAATAATACTTTGAACTGAAGACATTAAAGAACCAATCACTCGCTTTTGCCATTGTTGTTCTGAAGCTGCAGAACAAAACCCCACAAGATTTTCACTTCAGATGAAGGGTTCCTCTCTCCTTTATAGGATTCCAGGGTCCATTCAATTGCTTTTCCTCAAAAACATCTTTGATCGAAGATACCAGATTAACCTAAATCTCAAAGTTGGTATCAAGTCATTTTCACTTCAACTCAGGACACTCATTTTCACACATTACAGCTATGCAAAGGCCGCGCAACGGGAGGAGGTGAGCTGAGTATTGTGAAGGAAGCTACAAGGAGAAGAGATTAGAACCTTAAAGTGTATGCACGTGTGCACCCACACACACACACGCGCACACACACACGCACAGAATTCTCATTAATTTTTTATAAGGCAAAATAATCTTGCAGCAACATATGACTCTTAGCATCCAGCATGTTCCACCGTCCTCTTTACTCAACTGCATTTCATTTTTACTCACTTTACTTACTTACAGGAAGGCAAGATCATGCCAGTAAAATATGAAGAAAGTTCTCTTATCTGGGTGGCCGTAGATCAGCCGGTGAAGGACAACAGCTTCTTGAGTTCTAAAGTCTTAGAACTCTGTGGCGACCTTCCTATTTTCTGGCTTAAACCAGTATATCCAAAAGGTAACGCTTTAAAGTATCTTAATGCTGCTTAAAATTCTCCCAGTTCCCGTGAGTTTCCCACAGCCCCATCTACAGGCCTGAGCACGTAACGAGGGGCAGAAATCAGGGTGCGTGTTACGGTGTCTCAGTAATTAGCACGAGAGATGAAGGAGAAGGGAAGCGATAGCCCGTGATCGTTGCGGGGAAGGGAAGGAGCAGACGGGTTAGCAGGAGGCAGGTGGGGAAGACAGAACACCACTGCATTACCTGCGGCTTTTATTTACGACACTCCCACTTCTTTCCGCTCTGCCCCTTAATCTCAGTTGTTTGCACCTTCCAATTTTACATTTTTTTTTTATTTCTAAGGCATAGAATCAAGGGACTAAGAAGCTGTCATACCACTGAATCTTGATTATGTTCAAACCCAGAATTATGGGACGGCCAAAAGCTGCTGTGGGTATAGGCTGGGATTCCTCAAGTTCAAAGCGTAAGCATCAGCTTCCAAGTCTGGGGAAAAGAAATGCAGGGTCCCTGGGGTTCAGAGGTAGTTTGGAGCATGCCTGTGAGCTGTTTCCAGGTGACGAAGGGCAGGTGAGCCTGGTGGGTCTCGCTCTTCTCCCTGAGTTTCTCCTGTCCCCAGAGGCTCTCTCCCTCTTCACTCCTACCGCGGCACCACACCTGCCTCCCAAAGGCCTATTTTGTAGCTCTGGTTCAAGTGTGGAGAAAAAGGCCTTTCTCCTGGCACAGCTGAGATAGGCTATGTTTTCTGAAAGACTATTGAACACCAGGAGAGAGCAGCATGGAAATAAGATATAGGCATTAAAACCACTGGGCTTGCGGGGATGGGGAGTAGAATGGGCAGTGTGTAATAGGTACACAGTTCCAGTTTGGGGCAAGATGAGAAAAGTTCTAGGCTGGGCACAGTGGCTCACACCTGTAATCCTAGAACTTTGGGGGGCTGAGGCGGGAGGATGGCTTGAGGCCAGGAGTTCAACACCAGCCTGAGCAAGAGCAAGACCCCATCTCTACAAAGAAATAGCAAAATTAGCCAGGTGTCGTGGCACACGCCTGTAGTCCTGGCTACTTGGGAGGCTGAGGCAGGAGGATTGCTGGAGCCCAGGAGTTTGAGGCTACAGTGAGCTATGATGACACCACTGCACTCTAGCCTGGGAGACAGAGCAAGACCCTGTTTCAAAAAAGGAAGTAGAGCTGTGATTGAATCCAGGTCTCCCTAATGCCTCTCCAACCATGCTATCTGCAAAAGCCATCTATGGCTTTAGAGCACATCAAAGTTCTCATAAATAACAAAGCATGATATAATCATCATCACCTAACATTTGAGTGCTCATTATATGCCAAACATTACGCTAAAATCTTTAATTTTTTTTTTTTTCAGAGACAGGGTCTCTGTCACCTAGGCTGCAGTGCAATGTGTGCTAAAACCTTTAGACACAGATGCTCATTAATTCTATCACTCCCCTGTGAATTAGATACTATTACTGTTATATCCCCAGCTGACGGATGAAGAAACTGAGGCTCAGAGAGACACCAAAGTCCAAGCTGTGTGGTACTTTCCACCTTTGTTATACTCGGCAGCCATGGGCCCTGCTGCAGGACCCCCAGAGGCTGCAACATAAACTAGAGCAGTGGGTTGGAAGCCAGAGTTCACAGTGCCCTCCTAGCTCTGCCACAGATCATTCTGTGATCTTGGCCAAAGATCTTGGTCTTTCTGGGCCTTAATGCTCTCATATATAAAAGCATGTGCTTTTTCTATCCCATAGGATTTTTTAAAAGAACCTACCAAGGTATTATGTCCCTTGCAAACTGTAAAGCTTTATACCTATACAGTCAATCCAGGAGGCATACCATGGGCTGCAAGTAACGGAATACCTGCTCAACAGCGGTTTCAACAAATATAGGCTTTTTCGGTTTTTTTCATATAGCCAGAAGTCTGGAGATAGGAGGTTGCTGGCATTATCAGCTACTCAATGATCTCATCAAGTCTCTTTCTAACTTACCATGTTGCTGTCCGTAGCATGCTGGCTGATCATCCCTGTGCCTATCACTTCATGGTCACAAGTTGGTCCTCATAACTCCAGATATCGCATCTACGTTCAAGAAATGAAAACAAGACAGAGGAAGCCTATCTGTCCCCTTTTACCAAGAAAGCAAAAGCTTTCCCAGAAACGGCACTAGCATATTCTGCTTATATCCCACTGTTCAGAAACGTTTCACCTGGCACTCCTAATTGCATAGGCGGCTGGGGAAATGAATGGTACTTTTTGTCAGCCCCTAGAATGAAAGCAAACAAAAAAAGGGGAGAGGGGTTTGTCAGCCATGTTGCAAAGTCTGCCTCAATTAGCATTACAAAACCAAATTTGGATTATCTGTGTGTTTACTAACCCAAGACTCTAAAACATGCTTTATTATTACAAAAATCATCAGTACAAAAATTGTGAAGTATCTGGTCATGTATACGTTTTGATATCCTTTTCTTTTGTTTTCACCCTGAGTAACAGCTTCCATAATTATTCAAATAAAGGAATTAATTTACAGCTATTTTTGCAGAAATTCAGAGAGAAAGAAGAGAAGTGGTAAGAAAAATTGTTCCAACTACCACAAGAAGACCACGCAGTGGACCACAGGGCAACCCAGGCCCTGGAAGACTGAATAATGAAACTAGACCCAGTGTTCAAGAGGACTCAGAACCCTTCAACCCCGATAACCCCTACCATGTGCGTACTGGTGTTTTCATGACATGCTCAGACGACATGCTTAAACATAGTACTGGAATGGTGTTTTGACTTGAGGTTTCAAATGAATGTCTCTTATTCAACTGAGACTTGCTCGGTTATTTTAAAAATACATCTATTTGTTGCAAGGTTTATAATTAAGGGTAAGAACACTTAAGCATTGCCTCTGTAGTGAAGTCCTGATTGGTTGGTAACCCTTATTCAAAGTTGTTTTCTATGCCGTCCTTTTATTTTTTTTGAATCACAAATCCATGAAAACAAATCCATATCAGGAATTTGATTGTTTAAAAATGTTTCCAGGAGTGTTCCCTGGAGGCAACACACAGAATGCAATATTCTCTTTCTCCCTCCGTATCTACTGTATTCCTCCATTCCACAGACATTTGTTGACTCTCTGCTCCTTCCCCTGCCCTGTGCTTTAGGCCGAAACCTTGAGAATTGACGTTTATAAGGACACACTAAGGTGCTAAAAAAAAAATCTTCCAGGAAATATTTACCACTACTATAGTTTGCAGGGAGTGATGGTAGACTAAGTATTTGTGACTAGTTTTCAAAATAAAAAATACACACACATATTTTTTAAAAAACAGTATAAAAGGGTGTATATAATGAAAAGTAAGTTTCCCTGCCATCCCAGAAACCCTCCCCAGAGTAATCTATTAACAATGACTGTTTGCCCAGTTTCCTTGTGTAAGTACTCTCACACACACAAATTTTTATTTATTTTATGTCACTGGCAAAGTCCTGCAGAAACACACAATTTTGAACACAAAGTTTCTATACCTTGCTTTCTTTTCAGTTACATTTTGGAGATTGTTCTATATCTCCTACATAGATCTTCATTTATTTAAAAAAGAAATGGTGTAAGATGATATTTTGATGATGTAATTTGAACATAGGCCATATCAGATAGTGTTAAGGAATTAATTTTGTTAGGTATAATAATGGCAGTGTGGTTGTGTAGGAAAATATCCTTATTTTGGTGGTACATTCTATTTATTCTATTTATGGGTGCAATGTCACAATGCCTTCAATTCTCTTTAAATTCACTTTAGAATACTTCAACGAGAAAAAAGCGAACTTGACAATAGGTTAGCCATTGTTACATCCAGATGATGAGTGTATTGGTATTTCGTATACAATTTTGTCCCGTTCCAATATTTGAAATTGTTAATACTATCCCCTCCCCCAATTAAGACTTAAAAAAAAATACCAGAATCGGCTACCTCCAGGAAAGAGGCTGAAATTGAATCAAGAATTTACATTAAAGGTAAGGGATTCTTGGCAATGTAATTCAATACCGTATTAAAGAGGCTACAGAATCTCTACCCCTAGAACTCCTTTCAAAAGGAAAACCAGATATGCAAATCAGGCTGGGGGCAAATCCCTTCCAGTTCTGTAATCTCTCTAGCAGCGTGGAGGTTTTTACTTCACCAATAACCTTGTTTATGTAACTATAATTATGGCACATAGAAACGAGAAGGTAAACTTTAAGGTCTTGGAGTTTTACATACTTTTATAGAGCCTTTTCCTGAGGCCCCTTATGTCCTCATGGAAATAACATCCCCGTTCTGTTGCCGAATGGAAGCCAGGAGAAATTACAACTTGACAGTGCTCTCAGAGCCAGTGCAACTGCAGTGAATTCTGTCTTTAGTGTAGATGAATGAGTTTCAAAATGTGCTCCCAAGAGCCCTGGGAAGCTGTTACTACAAGGCGGCACCAGTGATGAGCTGACTTAAAATTAGCAGTGGCAGAAATGCTACTTTTGATCATAATGCTTCCTTTTTGTCTTATTTAAAACAAGTTGAGTCATTAGTGACCGGTAATCATGGCTTTTAAGCATGGAGAGACCTGGAGTGGCAGTGTGCACTTGTATTCCCAGGGACTTGGGAGGCTCGGGCAGGAAGATCGCTTGAGCCCAGGAGTTCAAGGTTACAGTGAGCTAAGATCACTGCCACTGCTCTTCGGCCTGGGAGACAGAGTGAGATCCTGTCTTTTAAGAAAAAGGGCATGGAGAAACTTCAGGATATTGTTAAAAACAAACAGAAACAAAAAACCCCACCAACTCTTCCAGTGACATATTAGGTAAGTGAAGATTCCTCGATGTCAGAAGGAATTCTGAATGACAGCAGGTTAACGAGATTGAAAACTTCTTAGAACAAATTATGCTGACTTCTTTAGCAGTGAAAAACTCAAGGTCTTATTTAAAAATAACATGCATGCTATAACCTCATTATAAAGAAAACACAAATAATTCTCTTTTATTTTCCAGCAGCAGGAAGGAGAAAGCATGACATTCGACCCTAGACTGGACCACGAAGGAATCTGCTGTATAGAATGTAGGCGCAGCTACACCCACTGCCAGAAGATCTGTGAACCCCTGGGGGGCTATTATCCATGGCCTTATAATTATCAAGGTTGCCGTTCAGCCTGCAGAGTCATCATGCCATGTAGCTGGTGGGTGGCCCGTATCTTGGGCATGGTGTGAAATCACTTCATACATCATGTGCTGTAAAGTGAATTAACCGAAGAGACAACCAAAGAAGCATGAGGCGGTTGATGCCGAAGGGATCACAAAGTATTTTTATAACTCAACCTAAGCAATGTTATCCTAGGATATTTCTCAATTGCTTTCCATAACTTTATTATGTGCAAATGTACTGAAAGGGTAGTTCAAGTCTAAAATGCCATAATAATTCTTTTATTATTTGCCATTTTTTTATTTGCTTTGCCTTGCCAGTAAGACCTGCTTGTAAGTGTTCCCAAGCTATTTTGAAATAAAGGTGAAAAATTATTCACAATTTGTCAAAGATCTAAATTGTACACTTGAGTTTCTTTTAATCGTTATGACCAAAATAAAGTTCTGTTATTTGTACAGAATTCCTCAATTTTTCTTAACCTTTGTTGTTCTCAGTCTTGTAAATGTGTCCCCAGAGTTCCCAAATAAAAACACAAATAAATGGAAGGACATATAATGCAATCTACCTGAAAGCAAGCATTTTAAGCCTCAATATGGAAGCTCATGGGGAGTTTTTTTTAAACTACATGACATCCCACTCCATTTAGACAGGAGAGTTCTTTATCTACGGTATATGCTGGCACATGATTGACACGTGGCTAAACTTTGTTAAGAATCAGCTCCAGAAAAAGAGTGAGCATGATGATAAAGAAAAATGCAGACAAAGATAAATCAAACTTGGAGGGAGAACTTTATTGACATTCTGAAAAGCAGGTCTTCACACCCTTTTCAATGTGTTTTCAATAAGTGGTCACTAGGTATGAAGCAACACAATGATTTTTCCCTTTGTAGTACAAATCAGGCTGCTGATGTAGTCCAATTACCAGTAAGTTACTCATCTATTTATAGGGCTGACAGTGAGTGTTGCTTGGCAGATACAGCTGAGGAGGAATAGCTTATTTATTTATAATGACATAAAGAAAGTCTCTCTGGAACAAGGACTGTCTTTAGAAATTGAAATACTAGATCAGGAAGATGAGCAGGTTATTTCATATTTTTGACATTTTAGTTTTGAATCCCACAGTTTGAGAGATAAACAACTTTCCTAGGAAAAGAAGTTTTCTAAAACATAGGATTGAGATGACAGAAAGCTCTTGATGCCATGATCACACTACATTCCCATATTCTGAATACATATTACTCTATTTCTGGTGTTTGCCAATTAAAGTCTGTAAAATGCTACAGAATTTTACAAACCTGATTATCAGGTGAACACTTAGATGCCTCCATTTAATGGCAATATGCAGCAAGCTAGGTCTCTGGAGAACAAAAGGATGAAGGAAATACACACTTTACAATGACATGTAATGGTCACACTGTTCTCAGGCAGCAGCTACTTCCTGCAGTTATGAATTTTACATGTTTAGTCTTTAAAATGGTTGTCACTCTTTTAATTAAGCATATCCATGCCAATAGTTTTGCACACCATCCTCCAGCCCCACAGTTCAGCAACCTGTACTGGGTTCTAGAAATAAAGTAAGAAAAAGACTTAGTGGTCCCATCCCAGAAAAGCACATGATCTCACGAAGAGATATACATAACCAGGGTTCAATACACCAAAACCTTGATAAAGATGGAATCAATGGGCTTCTTAGAGAATGCCTACTCTAGGTCTTCAAGGATGAGCCCAAGTTAGCCAAGTGAAGGTGACAGAGGACGTGCATTCCAGGCAGAGGGAGTAGTTTGGGTAAAGCCAGAGGTGTGGGGCTGCATGGTAAAAGCAGGGAAACAAAGCATTCAGCTTGAGGTAGGAAATACCAAGATAGAAAGGTAGGCACAAGCTTTACGCTTTATCCTATGTGGCATGTTAACTGTGATTGTCTGTGTGTGTGCATGTGTGTATAGGAAGTAAGGAACCAATGAAAGGTTGCCAGCAAGGAGGAGTCTTGTTACGTTTCCATTTTTAGATGGCTCACCTAGGTAGCTTTCCACGTGAGAAGTGAGCCAGACAGACCCAAAGGGCATCTTAGCAAGGAGGACAGCACTTCATAAGGGAAGGCTGCCTCTTGAACCCTTTTCAAAGCTCTATAATTAGACAATACAGGAAATGAATAATTTAGTTAACGGATAAAGGGATCATGTTATGTTATGAAAAGTCACTAATCAAAGATGACAACAGAAAAAAAAAATCCGAATGTTTTAAGGACAGAGGGGGAACTCAAGGTTGGATTAAGGATAGGAACGACAGAAGAGAGCCAAATTGTGTTCAAGGAAGAAAACTAAGGATGTTGTTTGAAAGAGAAGAATCAAGAGGACAGAGGAAGCATTTAGTAAAGGAAGAGAGGACACCGTGGAAGAATACAAACTTCTTCACAACTTGGTACCGGTCATCCAAATTACCTTTAGCCAAGCCAGTGTAAAAGTTGCAAATACAGCCCAGTGCCCTGCTGAATCTTGACTGAAATATGTGTGTACAGACACGTGTATTATTGGTATTTTATTATTTTGCAGATAACTCATTCTCAGTGGTGGTATAAACCAAGCCTTACAGAACATCTCAGGTTGAATTTTGAGGTCCTAGTTGACTCAGATTGGAAGGAAGGGCTACTGCAGTCTTAGATGTGATAGTTGCCAGTCAGCACATGGAAAATGAAGAAAAGGTATTGCTGGGTTTCAATTATGTGTTTTTTTTCTGTCATTTACATATCTCATTGAAATACGCCAACAAGTTTCCACTGCAATTTAAAAAATCTGTTAAGCTCATCCTTAATATGTCCCCCTTCCACCACTGCCTCAAATAACGACACTAAAAAAGTAAAAATAGTAAAAATAATCACTTAACCCACTCAACAGTTTATTTCTTACATCAGATTTTATTGCACTCTGAAATACAAGCTACATTTTTACAAAATAGAAATTGTGAGAGTGGATTAATTTCTGTATAAGCTAAATATGTTGATTTGTTTTATGAACATGTATTTTACAGAAATGGTCACAATTTTTTAAGTTAACTGATTTATTGAGGGGGTAGGAGAGAACTGACAAATCTACATGCACAGGAAGTCCTAACAGCGTATCTCGAACATGAAGATGTAAGTCTGAGAGTCAGTAATACAAACTTTAGCAAAACCATTTTACAGGCAGAGTGTTTGGATGTTTATAAAAGAAAGCTGAACTCCTTTAAAAAGGCTTTTGTACATATATGCATGCTCATAATTCTATTAATATATGCATATATAGGTGTGCTTCATTTTTAAAAAGTCCAATACAAATCAAATTTACAAAACAGATTCAGTTAGTGTTGACTGACTAAAGGACTCACCAGAGGTTTTATTTAAACTGCTTACATTCAAAAGTATTCAATGTACATATACAAAGGTACTTCCGTGTAAGGTAAGTATATCTATAAATAAATACATTTATGCATGGATAATCTAAATGTAGCAAACAGCTGAGGCTATTTTCTAAGGTGTTTGGCTTAGTGAACCTTTTTCACATCTTAATAGTTTTAAACTCAAATATATAGGAGTCAGTCTTTATTAGGGTATACACAATCACCACACAGTGATAAAAATCAGTAAGGGGACGGGCAATAGTAGGCCCACTAAAGCTAAAGTCAGTCACCAGTTATAATAAAACACCACATTATTAAAAACCATTTGTTTTAAGAGGTTTACCCCACTAAATTCCCTCTATGAGTTTAGCAATTTACAGATGTTATATGTCATATTCCTGTTCTGACCTTTGTGCTCGTTCCTTTGCAAAAACTCTCTTCACACTAAATTCCTGTAACTGAATCAGAGCCCCAGAAAATTCAACCCCTTTTCTCTCCTCTGTACATGGCTGCAAAAATTCTAACGGCAACAAGATAGTTTGGAAGAAATACCTCTATATACTTTTTTACTAGCATTGTGTTTGCAAATTTACTTGTCATTACTTTCTTTTAATTGTAGCTAAAAAAACTTGTGGTTTCCTGTCTTTCAGCCTTCCAAGGTGTGAATTATTTAATTGCTAAGAATTTTCTTTTCAGTTGCCTATATTTCATTAGTCTAGATGATTATCCTTCTTTTTATAATGAATTTGCCTTATACCAACATAGTCCAAGCCCTGTAATAAACTAGTCAAAACATGAACTTTCTCTCAGCAGAACACAACGCTCTTAAAGGCAAATGGTTTCTTTTAAATTGAACCCATATTCATGCCAGTTACTTACTGAGGTAACTCTAAAATTAAGTAATTAAAGAGATCTCCATGGGATGTACCCTAACACACATCTACTCTGTCTACTCAACCAGTACTATAACTTTTAATATTCACTTAGCACCTATGTGTAATGAAAAAAGGCATCATCTGAGAATATTCCAGTTGCTAAAGAAGAAATAGTGCCTCATTATGAATCAGTATTATGCCAAGGCTCTATAAATATTAAGTATTCTATCTAGTATCCTCTGCTTTATCCTAGCAGTATCTTAGCAGTGGTAAATTAGTGTCTTGCCCAAATAGTTAATCTCAATTCCCTTTGATTGAAACCAATCTTCTTACATCATGTGCAGTGTCACAGTTACATGGACTCAAAGACTTCATCAAAATGACCCCAAGGTTCCAACAAGGAGGAACTAGTCACTGAGCATCTCTCCTCTGCCTTTTTATTTTGATGTTAAGAGGGAAACAAATGCTTCAGAGGAGCAAGCCCCCAAGATGCTTTTTATTCTTTCCCAAAATTTACTGGAAATAAGGCATCAAGAAGTGATTAGTGCTAACCTTGCTTCTTTATTTTTAGTTTTTTTGAGACAGAGTCTCACTCTGTCACCCTGGGTAGAGTGCAGTGGCATCATCATAGCTCACCGCAACCTCCAACTCCTGGGCTCAAGTGAACCTTCTGCCTCAGCCTCCTAAGTAGCTGGAACTACAGGTGTGTGCCACCACACCCAGCAATTTTTAGTAGAGACGGGGTCTCACTCTTGCTCAGGCTGGTCTTGAATTCCCTAGCTCAAGCAATCCTCCCGCCTTGGCCTCCCAGAGTGCTAGGA